TTAGTTTTATTAGAGGATCGTTACCAATACACGTTGTAATGAAATTAATTTTTATTTATAAAGCACATTTTACAACAACTCTTAAACTAATATAACTGCCCTAAGTGAAGAAATATTAATATAGAAAGCACAAAGAAATTCACTTTTATCAGGATACCCACTTCCGCCCCATCCCTTTATAAATAAAAAATGATTTCATTACATTTCATTCATTTGTGCTTTCTATATATATATATATATATATATATATATATATATATATATATATATATATATATATATATATATATATATATATATATATATACACTCACTGTGATGATAGATGTGGCCTGTGGATCTGTGTATTGATTGATCAGTTGTTCCACTGGCAGGAGAACCTTAGGACGACTCTTTAATCTCTTATTGACATGGACCAATAATTCCATAACCTGAAACATAGACAATGCTCTCACTGCTCCTCATATCATTTACCCTTAAGACAATAATTTAAATTTCTTATCTTCAACATCATTAAAAGACTTCCCAGAAGCACAGGTGTACAACAGATATTTCAAAATTTACCAAATATGCAAAGGAAATATCTACACATTGCTATAGGGTCACTCAAAAAATCTCAAGCTTTACAATTCCAATGTATCCTTGACCTTGATCCATGTTCTTCATTTTATTTTCATAAAACCAAATATAACTCAACCTCTGACACAATGACATGGCCAATTCTGTAATGTATCAGATTTTACCTTTTTCCGTACAGCCTCATCTGTGCTGTTGAGTTTGAGTAAAACAGCAGGGAGAAATCTATCGAGGCAACTCTCTAGTTGTTCATCAGACTCAGAGGATCCTATTCTCAGAAATACTCTCTCCACAAGACCTAAAAACATGTACACAGTGTAGTTGTCTTACACACAACTGTACAAAGACCCAGTTCATTTTTTTCTGTGTTTGGATTTTTAAATCTGTTACTATAACATTCCTTTTCCACAGGCTAAGAAATAATTATTATACTTTATGCTAAAATAAACTACCTGGCACTGTACCGGGTACACTACTACATGTAGCTTGAGCTGTGTATCAGTAATTATATAAATCAATTCAATTCAAAATCTTGAAGTAGTCATCAAAGATTCAAATGTTCTGAGAATCAGGTAAGTTGGGTTGATAATCTGATCATTTTATAGCCAGCAAAATGAAAGGCCAAGCCCAAAAGCAATGGTAAAAACAATTGACACATGAGAACAAAGAAAATTCTAGGACACCAAAATTCACGGTAAATGAAAATTATCCTGTATTTTGAGCTTTTTACTACAAACCTACATTTTTCTTGAATTCTCGCTCTGTCAACACCCAAAATCTCTTTGATGTGTGACTTACAGTACTTGGTTAATGTAAACAAAACATCATGATTGACGGAGTTAAATATTTCCTGTGATAATTACATTGTATTTAAAATATATCAAAACTTCTCTTTGGTTGAATTGTTTTTATAAGGTTTTTTTTTAAATTATACCAACTTGTAATTTTGTCAGTAGAAAAATGTGTCAAAGAGAAGATGATATAAATTGAAGCAACTCTGGTGACAATGACACAAAATGTACGCAGGACTGTTAAGGCGTACTACGAAGAAATCAACGGAATATAAACGTGCATAAATACATACCTTTTTAAACTGAATTTATTTTTGTAAAGCTAGTATATTATCACATGACTTTTATATTAATTGAAATAACATAGTAAACCCCGCTCTGAACGGAATTTTGGTTTGGTCACAGTATTTGATAGTCACATGATAAATGCATTTAATGTGTACTGTATGTAGGTCATCAACAAATTTCAATATCACAAGGGCATACCCTAGTTATAATTAAAAATATCAGTAATAAATTGTATCTATATAACTTGCAGTTTATGAAAAGTGCTGCTGCTTTAAATAGAATTCACATTTTATTAGTTTAAATTTCAAGTTATTTGGCTCTAGTCGAAATATGTGTGACCTTTACCATGTATTTTATTTATTTATTTAGTAATGCTCTCGATTTCAGGAAAGCAGCAGCACTTTTCAAGTTAAGGAATGTTTCCGTTATGCATATTTAAAAAATGGTCAAGATCTACTGTGGAATCATCATTGTTCGTGGGGGATCAATGTTCGTGGATTTCGTGGGTCACCCTTACCCACGAATTTACATCCCCACGAACAATATTTTTGTCAACGTACTGATTAATTAAATCTACCAAATAAACAAGCTGCCCACGGAATTACATCCCCACGAACCAATAAAATTTTGCTTGCCCACGAACATTGACCCCCACGAATTTAAATGATTCCACAGTATTAGGTGTATGTCCTTGCGAAAAGGCGATTTAATGAGGCACCTTGGAGTGAAACATACACACCCAGTACAGAAAAACATGGTAGAATTAATTCAATACATTTTCTCTCTAGTTTTTAAATAATGGCACTAAACAAAGGTTTCAGATTTGTATCAATGGTCTACCTAAGATTTGCAAATAATATTCTGTTTAATAATAAAATGCGTTTTCCACTGTGGTTAAATTACTTGATCTACCTCTCACTGCACATAAAATACATCAAATTTTACCATGATGACGTCATGTCGACAAGTGCATTGCGATCAATAACTTGTTTATATCTTGCTGTGTGGGATTTAACTAGCGACAAAAATGAATGCAATGGTAAGTTTTGATGTAGTTTATCACTCTTATGCAGCTTAAAACTGCAAATTATTTCATTTTCTATTGTTGTGAGGAATTGCTATATTTCTGTGATGTCACAGTAGACATTTCCCGTATAAATTAGGCCCCGCCCCCTTTATGCAGCCTTAACAGAGCTGCATAATCAATAACTTACTTGCTCTGCTTGATCATAATTATTGTCCATCCTAACAGAGAAAAGCTTTAGTATCATGAGAAAAATTAAATTGACTTGGGACAGTGATTTTTACACTGTACTACATCTTTGTAAAAATTGTTGTGAATATTGATATTCTAAAAGTGCGAAAGATGCTTGCAATAAGATATTAACACTAAATGCTGTGGTACATTTGTCAGTGTTTGAAATAACTGTCCACCCGACACGCGCAAATTTTGCCGCAGACCAACAGATTTGCACGTATCAAGGCCCGGCTGGATGTCTTAAAATTTGCCATAAATTAAAATTCATATATTTGATAAATATCTCTCAAATCAACTAATAGTATCGGAAGCTAAGTGTAACAAGCAAAGGGGTAGAATTTGACTGCCTATAGATTCGGGATGGAAGTTATGGTGATTGTGCCCCAATCACATTATCGCTTAAAACAAATTCATATAAAACTTTTATATTCTTGGGCTAGTAGAATTTTGGCAGGGCTGACAACTTTCACTGGCAGTCAGCCCTGCATGTCTAGCTTAAATTCCACCGTGAGTTTCAAACACTGCATTTGTTAATTTGGAATACACTTGCAGGTCTGGTACATGTACAATCACTAGATTAAGCTACGTAGCTTGAATTACCTACATAGCTTTATTTACCTACCTGAAGTAGCTTTATTTACCTACCTGAAGTAGCTTTATTTAGCTACTAAATCAAGCTTATTTCTTAAATTAGCATTTTTCCCAGAAAGTGCAGAAAATTACACTTTGATGCAGTGATAATTTTCAAATTTGAACTCATCTGAAAACAATTCATGTAAAAATCACTCTTGGAGATGTGTCTTTTTCTGCGCAATTGCAATCAAAGTTCTAAAAGTTTTGGGGCTATATACAACAGTTGATTTGTGACCTGACAGTTACTTCTTGAGTGAAATAATAAAGAAAACTAGTTTTGGTTAACATGAGCACAATGTGAAGTAATCATGCTTATCCACACCTCATCACACACAAGGTGTCTACAGCTACTCAAACAATGGAAATACTGTACATATTTTCCTTAAAAGTGTTCAAACGCAGCAATGTTTTTGCTTTAGATTGCTTTTTAAATAATATGTAGCATAAATATTAGTAGACATTTACTTGCGACTTTTTGTCTTTTTAAAATAAAAAGCAAAATTATGAAAAGTTGCCTTGAAATAGCTAAATAAAGCTACCTGAGGTAGGTAAATAAAGCTACGGTAGGTAATTTAAGCTACATAGCTAAATGTACTGATTGTACTGGACCTGACTAGTAAATACGATTCTTCTGTCATTATTTTTGTACATTATTTTGTGCATTTTTTGATGAGCAATGAGCAGCATTTGGGTTTAAACATTATCACGTGTATGCATTCAAGTCCAAACATAATTTATCAACCTTAATCATGTTAGTAAGAATTGGAGAGGCCAGCGGTGGGGATGAAAACGTTCTTTTGTTACAAATCGAACAATCTGATCAATCACAATTTAATTAATTCTTCATAAGCACAGAGATTTTATTAAATTCGTAAAAATTATTTGTGCATTCTGATTAGAAACATGTGATATTACTTATTAAAACCCCTTGAATTTTAAGAAAATATTTGTTGGGGGATTGTAAATTGTATGTAAAAAAAACTTACTTAATTCATCAGGTTCTGACATCTTTTGAATTTGAATCTGTAAGCAGGTTAGGTAAACTTCTGCCTGCTCTGACAAAGCAAAAGTAGAAATTTTCAAAGATTTTTGTTAAATCGAGTGTGATTTTAGTCGATTAAAGATCTAAAGTTTTTTTCTTAGGAGATTAGAAATATCAAATTCAAGTTTCGTACATTTTTTATGTAGGATTTTTCGCTATCACAAATATGAAAGTGATTCACATTCACATAAATGATCAAGATGATGAATAAATATTTTACGAAATATATTACGAACGCTGAACATGTTTACGACTACTCTTTATATAGCATGTATAGTACCTTTATATTTTTTACCTTGCGTTCATATGAGATTAGCTTTGATATTCCATTTTTGTACCAATCGTATATCTTTTTAGCATTCTAACATTTTTGTTTAATTTTACGACTTTTGTGAAGACTGACCTATGGCAATGTCAGCTGACTTTCATTTCGATGACCATGAAAATGATTGAATGGCAGACAACAACAAGGAATTAGAATCCAAGGAAGATAATTCCAAGGTGTCAGATCGCAGAAACGGGCATCAATCACGTACTGGTCTACAAACCATTAATTTACATCGGCCAACTGGAAGAATAAACGGTAACAATTGAATATACACACGTTTATCTTAACTTTTGAACAAAATCAAGTTTCAGTCTGACAAGATAACAGCAAACACCTTTTTTGTTAAATTTCTTGCACCTCCTACAGGTAATGATAATTTTATTCAATGATATATATTGACAATTGTTTTAACTACAGACTGAATTGATCAGAGCATGTAATTTTGCGGATTACACTATAATTTAGAGCTAACTCATATGGCGAGCACCAACACTCTCCCAAATGACATTGACAATACTGCTGGGCAGACAACAGAAGGCCCTACACCAAAGAAATCTTTGAAGAGAGTGGCATCATTTTATACTCCATATATGGAGGATCGCTTGAGAAGGAAACTGAAATTTCATTTCATGGGACCACATGAAAAATTTAAAGCTAAAAGAAAGTGTCCCTGGAAACTTGTTCTACAGATTTTTAAAGTTTTTCTTGTAACAGCTCAGGTAGGAAATATTTTTATCAAAGTACATTCAAGGAAATTTGATCAGTGTAGGATTTGTGACTATTTGAGAGGCTAGGCATACTAAAAAAATTAAATTAGTTAAACTGCTGATAAATATTATATTAACACACGCCACATCTAAATGCATAATAATAAGCAACTTCAGTGGTGTTATCCCAACCTGTTTGCTTTTGAAATCTTTCTTTTTTTTTAGATTGTAAAGAAACCTGTATTTTGAATACAAAATGAAAATTAACTTACATTGAAACAAAACATACTTCAAAGGAATTTACAAGAAAATGTTGTTTTACAGCTGATAATGTTTGGGTATGAGAGAGCCTTATTTGTTGAGTATGTGGAGTTGAACAATATTGCCATGAAACACATGTACCTGCTTAAATGGGATCCCAGCTTTGAGACGATGCCTTACCCCCCAGCCACAGGAAAATATGCCATCTACAAAGCAAACGACCTTATAGATCATATCAATTTTGCTATGAAACAGGTAATATTTGGATATTTCAAGATTAAATTTTTGTCAGAACAATTACCATATTTTGAAATGGATACTGTATGTGTACATGAATTGGCGTATTTAAAATTTAGCGCAATTACTGGGAGTGGAATTGTTGGCGAAATCATGAATTTGTGCTATATATGTCCCTGCTGTATATTGTACTTATAAATGATTTATTAGCTGTATTCATGAATTAGCGCATCGTTGTCTGCGCTAAAGCCGCTAAAATATGAAGCCTGCTTTTTTAAGTACACATACAGTAACTTTTAAAGACTTCTATAAAATTGTAACTTGTGTTCTGATGTAATATATAAATTAACACTCAATCGTGATCCGTAAAAGTTAACTAGGGAGTATGCATGCACATTTTGCTATCAAAATTAAAATCTCAAATATGTCTGTCCTAATTTACAGTTCAACCGTACTGAGGAATTGACCCTTGGATCACTTAGATTTGCCAACAGAACAAAATACCTCAGCATGTGTGTGGAGGAGTACAGGGAGGGAAAGGTGTATGACAATGACACCTATGTATTTGATCCCAAGGTCACCACAGGTATTCTTTATATACAATGTACAGGTACATTATATCGACAATTGTTTTTAACAATCTTTGGTCTTCTTGGAAAATTTCTTGCTTTTAAATATGTGAGACGAAATAAGATATTTATAGTGAATGGTTTTTACCTTCCCTCAGTGAAGTTTATAGGAGCCTTTGCTATGCCCCTGGCATCAGTGTGGATGTCCCAGTTAAAGTTTTAACATTAAGTCTATTCAAAAGTAACTTTCGTATTTTAGAACTTTAAAAGCAAGTCTATTCTAAAGTAACTTTAAGCCCATTCATTTGGTGCAAGACTTTGCTTTCACTTATAGATAACCATTCATTAATGTGAGCTTTCAAATTGTAATCTTAGAATTCTTTCTTGTTTTTTTTTTGTCCCCCTCTTACACTGCAAGTGGGGGATATTAATTTGGGTCTGTCTGTCCCATCTGTCTATCTGTCATTCTGTCTGTGTAACACTTCTGTTACTGGACAATATTTCAAAGTGTTTGAGCTTTTACAATGAAATTTATTTTATATTACAACTCCCTATGGCCTAAAGAAAAACTCCATTGATTTTGAGGTCAAAAGATAAAAGGTTCAGGTCAGGAAACCATACATTTAGAAATGGATTCAAGATGATAAATTAAGTTTTCTTTGAGCTTTTTCAATGAATTTTCATATAACTCTCAATGTCTTAAAAAAGACCCTTTGTGATTTTGAGGTCAGAAGGTCAAAGGTTAAGGTCAGAAATTCATATATTGCAAAATAATTTTTTTTTTCCAGAGGACAAATTTTTTCACAGCTTTTTCAGTAAAATCAAATGATGTAAACGAGAACCCTACTGATTTTAAGGTCAAGGTCAGAAATTCATACATTGCAAAAAATGGTTTCCAGTTGATAACTTAGTTTTCCTTGAGCTTTTTCATGAAATCTTTTATTACATGTATTATAAGTCCCAATGATTTAAAGAACTTTACTGAGTTTTAGTCAAAAGGTCTAGGTCAAAAGTTTATATCTTACATAAAATGGTTTCCAGGTGATAACTTTATTTCTACTTGAGGTTTTGCAATGAAGTTTTATTCCTTTAGTCAATAAGATTTGAAAAAAAAAATTGAGTTTGAGATCAAAAGGTCAAAGACCAAGGTCAAACATTCATATATTGCATACATAATTTTCAGATGATGTTTTCAGTTCTCTCTCTTTGGAAAGAAACTTAAGGTCATGAATTTCTTTTTTAAGGCCAAAAGCTAAAAGGGCAAGGTTGACCTTTTTCTTTCTCTTTCTGCATTTTTTTCAAGTCTTCCATCCTTTTCCTTAAGTGAGGGACACACATTCCCTGAATTAGCTTGTTTCTTTAAAGTAACAAGGCTTTGTGACATGTAAGAGCCTGAAGAACGGGATCTTAAAATACATTTTTTTTCATCAGTTTGTTTCTCTCATAAAGGTTCAATTTTGAGGCTTCTGTTCTATCGCATCATCATATATTGCACACATGAAACATCATTTAGATGACTGTGAATGTTACAACCTACTGTCCAGTCACTAATATTTGTTATTTCTTGATTTCTTTTGTAGTTTGTTTTGATCTTCAGCCAGTACCTGTATATAATGAAGCAACAAACAGTACAGAACTTCAATATGATCTTCTTGCCATTCTGAAAAAACAGAACAGAACCTTGTATTTTGATAGGTAGTTGATTTACGTTTGAAATTCTTTAAGCATCAAACATTCGTCAGACTTACAAAAAACCTTCAAGGTGTTTAAGGTTCAATTAAGATATTGAAGTTTGCCACTAGTTTGCTTGAAACTTTGTTCATAGAATGTTCATGATATGGCATGAATATTAAAATTAAGATTTTTGATAAAACCATTATATAATATACATAAAGTAGTTTAGCCATGCCCCCCTCCTCTCAACTACTTGTACTGATGAATATAATACAATAGTTGAACAATCATTGTCCACATACTTAAAAACTCTCCTTTCTACTTAAGCTGAATCTTGAATTCTGTCACTTTAATGAATGATTAAATTGTACAATTTCAGAATTCTTTTAATCACTCTTAAGTTCCGCCTGAGGTCCATTCGACTAGCTCTGGAGAGGAAGAGTCATGAACCGGAATGTTTCAAAATCAATGGCAGGGTAAGGGCAACTTTTACTGATATATATAAGAAATAAGGTTTGCATTTTTATGGATGTTGCAGGATAACCTCCTCAGTCGAGAAATGTTTTTTTGAAATAGAAAAGCTGAGGCTTTTATATTTCAAACAACATTTGGCGACCAAGGAGGTTATCCTGCATCATCCAAGACAACAAGGACTTTATTTCTATTCTACTTACAGCTCTAAAATATGGCTGATTGTTTCCTCTATAGAAAAAACAAATTAGGTCACCATGTTGTGATTTGGCTGTTCCGTTAACACCAAAGGGTCAACTTCTTTGTTTACTTGTGTATTGATTGCCAAGAATTGCAGACAATTAGAGCGTTCACTGGATAACAAATATCCTTTAATAATTTATGATTTTGCTTGCAACATGTATTAATTCATTTTATGAATTATAAATAGCAAAATCTGTTGTCGATTTAATTGCTTTAACAGTAACTTCAGGGAATGTAAGTGTATAGGGAGGTCTGTGGAACATACAGCCCCTTTAGCTATAAAAATAGACATTTTGTAAGCTACATGTATTTTAGGCAATACACAACATGTAGATTTGCAGAAGACGTCACAATGATATAGTCTTAATATGTATTACATTCTAAAGTCACATTTAAAAATTCTTCTTTACAAGTTTTATATGTTTTTCTGATCTGATAATTTTTCGATGAAGTTCATGATTTATTGCGGAATAATATTGCACTTTCAAGTTTGAAAGGGATGTAATCAAGTCAGTTGAGAAAACATTTCAGTAGATATTGATCTTCCTTTCTTAGAATTTGTGCAACGTGTATACAGTCAAGCCTCCCTATTCTTGGTGCTTGTCAAATCGTCCAGATAACTGAAACATCCATTTAAATCCAAGAAAATATTTGAATTTTATTTCTCTTTGTTTTATTCAAAAGTATGATGCATATACTGGAAAAATATCATTGAATGATTAACGATTCCATTTTTATCAAGAGTACAGTCAAGCCTTGTTAATCTGGACTCTTATGTTCCTTATATTTGATAGATATAAATGTTAATTCTGTTCCCAAAGGATGAAGCATCTGGAATATTGGTGTCTAAATTAACAAGGCTCCACGGTATACTGTTCATTGTACTGTTTGTTATCTCCATATTTCACTTTATAAAAGTTTATAAAAAAATATGTCTAACTCTAAACATTTATTGACAGATTGTGTTTGATGACAGTCTAAACATTTATTGACATATTGTGTTTGACAACAGTCTAAACATTTATTAACAGATTGTGTTTGATGACAGTAATAAGGATGGACAGATGGTTGTTGATCTTTTCTCTTCACTGGATGAATTTAAGTGCAGTGGAAAATTTAAAAATATGTGTAAGAATGTCTGAATACTTACTCGCATTTTTTAATTGGCAGACTGTCTATTGAATTTTTTAACTTTCAGACAGTTTGACAGTTATAAATAATATCATTATCTTGTCTTTAGAAGATAAGACTGTTTCCGTGTATTGATGCCCTCCTCCGTTTCTTATTCAGCTGTTGTTTGATAATGTTCTCCTCTGTTATACAGCTGATGACCAGGCTGATAAGCTGGGACAGATGTTGTTTGATATTTTCGTCATCCTTGTCAGTGTTTTCTCCTCGTTCCTCTGTATAAGGTCTCTGTACAGAACTCACAAACTCAGAGTGGTGAGTCAAAGGGCTCAATTTTGAATTTAATGACATCTGTATGAAAGTTATTATAAATAATTAGTTTTTTTGACCCCCATATTGATTTGGAGGGGGGGGGTATACTGGAATTGGTGCTTCTGGGGATGCTTAAGAAGAAGTATCTTTTTATTTGTGCTTCTACGGAGGGTATCAGGCCTGGTAGGACAGCTCTAGTTTATCACATGTGCAGTGTTTTTCACATATAACAGTGTTTTTCATATATAAAACTGTTTTTCACATGTAAATTGTTTTTCACATGTAACAGTGTTTTTCACATTACATGTACAGTATATCAGAAGCTCTAGTAACAATAAAGAGAAATCGTGGAGAACAAAAGCACAACTATGTATGCACGTTAAGTTGTTTTCATTTTCTAGTGATAATTTTTGTTATGATTACAGGAAACAGTGCAGTTCTTTAAGACCCGCTACAGGAAGGATCTGAGTTTCTACGACAAGTTTGAGTTTGTTAACCTTTGGTATGTTTTGATTGTGATTAACGACATTCTGACAGTGGTTGGATCTTCCTTCAAAATTCAGCTAGAGAGGAGGGTAGGTAGCATAACCTAGCTTATTACTCATAAGTGTCTGTATGAATTCCTTGTTTAAAATTATCTAAAATACTTGTTTTTGAATCAAAGGACCTTGCCCCAAATTTTGATGACCTGCCAATAGATTATGACCCAAAGACGGTAATTCTCAAAAATGCTCCTTCTCCCCACAGCTGTTTAATCACCCCCTCTACTTCCCATATCCTCTCTCCTTTAAATGATACTCACTAATTCAAACAAATCCTCTAGGACAGCTTAACACAGAGCCTAGTCTGCATTCCTTTATGTTTTTATTTCCCCAAGCAAAACAATTACATGTATACATTCCCCTCCTCTACCCGACAAAATAAAAAACAATGATTCAATGATTAGTTCATTCCCCATAAGAGAAATGCTTTTAAAAAGAAATTCACATTGCTGCACTATTTTCATTAAGGTTTGATGAAATACATGTATTTTCAGTCACCTGAAAATCATTATATTTATTCTTATATGAATCCATATTCAATATTTTCAATATAAAAAGGAAGTCTTTTATTTTAGTGTATAAATGTTAAATAAATAGGATCAACTATAACAAGCTAAGTCTATTTAACCCCCCCCCCCCAAAAAAAAAAGAGAAACAGAATCTAAATCAGGCAAGTAGTTGTTTTCATTCACTAAGAGCAGTTTGTGATTTAATTACAATTTCACCAGCAGATGTAATTCACACTTGGTGACTATAATGAAAACTTCATTTTTCTAAGAGGTACGGTGTATTTTACTAGCATGGAAAGTAAATAGTATGCCTACAAAAATTAAGCAAAATTCATACAAGGGCTGTAACTGCTGCCCTGTCAGTTTAGTTTACATGTTGCTGTACCACTTTTCAGCATGCCCAGAGTTCATCAGAAAACTATGACCTTTGTGCACTAATGCTTGGAACTGGAAGTTTGCTGGTGTGGATGGGAGTAATTAGATACATAGGCTTCTTCAAAACTTTTAATGTAAGTATATTTTCTTTTTGATAATTGTATTGACTTTAACAATATAAAACATGGTTGCATGTAATCAATTAGTCTTAACTATGATTATTTTGAACTAATGCTACTGGCCAGCTTTGATTTGACTACATTGTTTGATGATCAATCCTACTGAAAAGAACTTCTGGAAATTATGAGCCTCAAATTATTAATGTCTCTTGGAAAGAATTAAAACTTATGAATCAGCATTTCAAAGTATCTAAAGCATGCCAGTGTTTGAAAGTGTTTGATGTCAATACTTATTTATGTGTGCTGTTTTTCACTGCATTATTTTGTGTCTTCTGAGAACAGATTCTAACTGTGGTGTTAAAGAAAGCTTTCCCGGACATGATGAGGTTTCTGGTAACTACAATGATGCTGTATCTTGGATTTATGTTTTGTGGCTGGGCCGTGCTGGGACCTTATCACATCAAAGTAAGTGAAGGCAGCAATTTAGGACCAATTTTGAATCTTTTATTACCAATACAGTTGATATTGACTGGGTTTGCAAGATGTTGTTAGACTTCTTTCTCATTAAAATAATACTTTTTTACCGGTACTTATATTTTGATCATGTTGATACTATGTTTATTTACAGTTCCGGCACTTAAGTACAACCTCTGAGTGTCTGTTTTCATTGGTGAATGGTGATGATATGTTTGTGACATTTTCTGCGACTGTGACAGAGGACACCTTAGTGTGGTACTACAGTAGGATATACCTGTATTTATTTGTGTCACTGTTTATTTATGCTGTCCTGAATCTCTTTATTGCTGTTATCCTCGACACATATGAAACCATCAAGGTAAGGGAATTGCTAAAAAAAGTTGACCAAGAATTCTAAAAAAGAAAAAAAGATTATTTTGTAATCTTGAAGAGTGAACAGTTTGATATTTTTATAGTAGTACTGTTTATTTTCTAATCCTCAAAGAATGAACTGTTTGACATTTTTATAGGAGTACTATGAGCAGGGCTTCCCTAAGAGTGAGTTGTTTGAGTTTATTGATGAGTGTGAGGATTCACCAGACTCCGAGCTGTACAGAGGGGAGGATCAAACATGCTCCTGTGGTGTTTTGTCTCTGCTTTGCTGTTTCTGTTGTAAAAAGTCAGTAAAATTGATAATGAAACAATTTTTTATCATTAGGGTTATTTTCTGTGATATAGTTGGAGAAAGGGGATAGACATCATTTTGTTGCCAAAGCAACATAGGGGTTTAATAACAACGCCAAAAGAATTCTTGTAAGTTTTCACAGCACAATTTCTGAGATGGCAGGAATAGGAAAAGTTTTTGTCTGGATGGAAACTCATGAAAGCTCATGACCAGATATTTGTGATAGCTCTGTACCAAGGTTATTTGGATAAGGTTTAGGCTGCAGAACAAAATTAAATTATTAATCTAGCTACAAATTCAAAATGTAGAAACATTAAAAGATTATACCTGAGACTAAGGTTGCTTGTCCTGACCCTGACCGAGAGCAATTGGTACAAGGTCACAAGCTTCAGTTCAAAAAATCTTGCCTAGGCCATAACTTTGAAGCTGAGTAATATCAGGTGGTTATACTAGGCACAAAGGATGCCTGAGAAGTTGAGATGGCAAGGTCAAGGTTTTCTAATGTAACAAGTTTAGATCATACCTACCCTCAGGATTTATAATGATCATAGAATATGTCATGACTCTAAACAAAAGTAATTTAGGAAAAGTCAAGGTCAGATAATTTAATGTGTTATATTCTGAAAGTCTTCCAGATGATAAATTATTAGTCATAACTTTATGTTGAAGGTCAGATGTGGCACAACAATGACTTATGATCAAGAGGCCTGTCTTGATTCTTAGCCATTTTTGGTTTCACATTGTTTATTGTAACGTGGTTCAGAAATTCAATGTTCTTATGACCATGGCTTTTTAACACTAAACCTGTCAAGGTCACTTTCATACTTGTCACAAAGAAGTTGCTCAAATCAATAGGTTTTACAACCTTTAATCAACAGCAAATTTGTTCCATTAAGGAAGTTCTAGTTTGTAACAAACTGTTGCATCTGAATTAACATTTCAATAGACACTGATTCTTGGTGCATTTTCTTGGTCACATGAAAAAGGTATTACCATTTTACAGAAAATGGATAGATTGTTAACAACAATAATTCCTATTTCTAAATTTTGAATTGTTAGCAGTAAATGCTGATGGATTTTATTTTCTTTCAGAAGTAAATCAGGCAGCCCCACAGAGTACACGAGTCTTCTCCACTGACCAGAGTCTGATGATCAGCATATCATTACTTAGGAGGCTTGTCAATTCTCAGTAACCACAACCTAATTACAGAGTACTGTACTAGCCTTAACCTTCATAGACCACCGAACATCTTTGGTCTGGCCAATAACATAGCCTTAACCTTCATAGACTGCCGGACAACTTAGCTCAGGTCAATAACATTCCTTAACTTGGATATGTAAAGCTTTAATTATATTCCATTGTGAATGCTAAATGACTTTTAAACTTCAGATATGTTGCCATTGTCATATTTTTTATGTAGGTTGTAGTGTATGGTAAAAAATGGTGCTTTTTTGTCTTTCTTTAAATGTGCCTAAGGATTATGATCTATTGACTTGCTTTATTAAATTGTTGTTACAGTAGTAGATTATGAGATTGAATGTACAAGTATTATATTTAGATTTTGTGTGGATGTATAATATTAATACAGTTTGAAATCATGGTAATGTGTGATTAATGCAGGGTACAGACCATAATATCAGCCAGCCTCTTTTACCAAATAGCTATTGTAGTATTAAGATATAAATCATTTACATTTATAATTGTCTTTACATGAATTCAACTGTGTTAAAAAAGTCTCATGCATATAGCAAGAGTTCTTTACATAATTCCCATAAAAAATCAAAATAATAGAAAAGTTGTTTACATCTTGGAAAAATTTAAATTAGGCCTACCATATGAAAAATCATTCAAGTACATGTATATAAAACATATTTCTGTTAGGTACTGCTGATAAACTTGTTCTAAAGGAGTCTTTGTTTTTAGTAGGGATGTCAAAATATTTATTTTCCTTAGTCGATTATTCAGTTGCATTATTCGAACGATAGTCGAATATTCGGAACATTTTCTGAAAATAAAATTTTATTTTAAACTTCACGGGTACATGACGTATTTGTAACTTAAAAACCCTTTTACATAAATCTATTGAAAAGGTAACCTCAAAATTAATGCAACGTAACGTGTGGATAGCATGATTATATGAAATAAACTTAGACACCTAATTCTCCAAACTGTATAATTTCCCCATCAATCGAATTCATAGATCGGTCTAAACAGTCAATTTATGTTTTAGTAAGCATTATTTAAAAATTGCCAGCCGATATTTTTAAAAACAATTTTTTTTAGCTTATTATGAAATAAATAAAAATCAGGTGCTCGTGATATTTTTAAACAATTAGATACTAGCTTATTCAGTTGATTGCCCCGGCTATCAAAATGTCCTTAAAGTGTAAGCGTATTGTTTTAATGATTATAGAAGTGTCAAAACTTGTCACGGTTATGGTGTTCCTTGGATTTGAGCAATCCTAAAATAACAAAATATAATTGGTACAGGTTATAAGATCAAGCCCAATTAATAGTTTTCCAAACAAAGTCCAGTAATTTGATGGGTAATTTATTACAAAAACAACAGAAGCAGTATCTGACATATAATTCCCGCGGTAGTAAAGCACTTACAGTTACTGTACTTTCTATAAGTACGAGTACATGGAAAGTCAATCGTTTTTGTTGAGGAAAATTTTCGACTGTCTCTGAGGAAATTTAAAGACGGTTTCTCAATTTTAAGATGAGAATTCCATCTCCTTATATCACTCTTTTGTTGAATTTATTTAATGATAATAATATTCGAATGTCGTTTCATTATTCTATCGTCGGTCCATTCGACTGATAGTCGAATAGTCGACTATTCGTTGACATCCCTAGTTTTTAGTGATTCTGTGTGCTATGCTTGGGACAAGGATATTAAGTAGATTTTTGGTTAGGGATGCAAAATTAGAATGTTTTCCATAATTCGACAATTTTTGTATATTTCACATTTTGTCTTTGTATCAAAGATATAGTGTAGTCAAAGGCTTTGCATAATTAATATAAGTGTACCTAGTTTGTTACACTCAAAATGCTTAGAGTACGTGTAACATTCATCAAATATTTATCCCTCACTTAAAGTGGGCAGTATTAATTTGGGTCTTTCCTCCCTTCTGTCTGTCCGTAACACTTATGTTTCTGAAGAATATGTCTTAAAATCCTTTAGCTTTTGCAATGAAATATAAATCCCTATGACTTAAAGAAGACCCCTATTGATTTTGAGGGCAAAGGTCAAGGTCAGAAATATATATTGCATAAAATGACTTTCAGATATTAACTCTAGCTCTTTTTGAGATTTTGCAATAAAACTTAAGATTATGACTCTTTCTAATGTAAGAAAGACCCCTACTGATTTTGTGGCCAATAGTGAAAGATCAAGGTCATGGGTTCATGTATGGCATAAACTGGATTCAAGTCTGCAACTTATTGATTCTGAGGTGAAAGAACCAAAGGTCATATCACAAATTAGTATATTGCTACACAATTTTCTTGACATCACAAATAAACTGCTTTCCTTAAGCAGGGCACTGATATTTTCTGAGTAAGAAACACTTCATATTTAGAATTCATAATCAAATTTTATTTTTCATTAATTTATTGAGATCAAATCAATTCTTCTTCCTACCCCATCTCCATTCTTTTCATATTACATTACTTAAACAAATCTCATGATAACATCAATACACAATATCTTGGAGAAAAACATACATATTTGACAATATGCAAATTGAGCACATCCATAACATATACACGTACTAGCTGTTCAGCTCTGAATGTTAAGTATTGTTCAAACATTAAGACTTTATTTGAAATTTTCTTTTATTCCTCGTGAATCTAATAATGAAAATTATGAAATTGGGATGAAAAAAAATCAGGATGTTCCTATTAATCTGAAAGTAAATAGTTATTATACTGCAGTACAAGAGGTATAGTGTAATGCTACAATAATCCTTTATTTTGTGCATATTTTAAGAGGGCTGGGTGGTTGTGGCCATTTTCAGACTATATTGATCTCCTTTAGAAGAAGAGCTCCATATAAAGATATACAAAAATGATCAAATTTTAAAACTAAAATGTATGAAATTTTTGTTTGCCAAATGATAGTTGACAGCTTAAGATATCATATCTAAAAAAATAAGTTATATCTGATGGTTAATTTGTTGATCCCCCAGCCTCCTTAATACAGTGACTTGAAATTGTTTTAGTACTCAAACATTCACCCTTTGTTAGGACAATAAAGTGACACAATTGTTCACAGAATTATTCAGACTAGTCTGATGTTATTAGACAAAGATGGAAGTGAATTGTCTATCCGATGCCTAGATCCAGATTACCCTCTCCAGGGAGCTTTTCTTTGTGTTCGTTATTCTTGTCCTGGGACAGACATCCCTTAAATGAGTTCAATCTCACATCTATCTCACCATCTTCCAGCTAAAATAAAATTGTGCTCACTTCAGTCACTGGAGTACAACAGGTACCCACCTCTAACATCACCATACATAACATAGATATAACAAGATGCTTTTAAACATGCAATATTATTAACTAAGGATTATTTAATTTTTTGTCTTAGTTACTAAAATCACATGAATACTCATTTATAGTGCTATTGTTTGTTCAGATGTGATTCTGAATAAAGATGTACAAAATATATCTTTTATCTTTCTCTTATATATACATACTGGGTCGTCTGCATAGATCTGCTTATAACAGAAACTGGAGGTACAGTTTCTTACACAGGCTGTCTGCTCTGCTCCAAACTTGGACAAGCATTCTGGCCGTGTTTCACACAAAGCCTTAGCATTCTTGTACTTCCTGTCCTATAGAGAAAGCATCTGATTTCAGTAAAGTGCATAACAATTTTTGTAATCTTTTTGTTTAGAGTTAAAACTTGGAAACAAAATCAATTTTCCAGACTTAAAAACTTTTGGATCTTTTAATTTATAAGACACCTGCTTTATTGTCTTCACAAGTTAACTAAGTTTTTTTTCCCCTTCACTCAGCAGAATAATGCAAAAAAGTAACTAATTAAATTTTATACCCCCCCCCCCCCCCCCAAAAAAAAGAATTGTCCAAAGATGGGTCCTGTAACTACAGCTAATGAAAAGTGAATGCATGATCAAGGGAGGGGACTGGAAGAAATAGGTGAACACTTGATCAAGGGAGGGGACTGGAGGAAATAAGTGGATTGCTCTGAGCTTGCAAGAAAGTTAAGAGAGACAAATTTTACAAGAGCCCCATGGACCACAATTCTCCCTAAATCAGTATGGCCCTGATTTTCTTCAGCAGCAGATTTTACCCTCCTCTCATATAATCCTATGTATATATTGTGGCCCAACCCAGGCCCTGTGGGTTATGATTTGAACAAACTTGAATCTACACTACTTGAGGATGCTTTGATGTAAAGGTGACTAGTCTTGGCTTTGCTGTTCTTTAGAAGATTTTTCCTATGTAAAATTTTCACTGCCCATTGTGGTCACACCCTACCCCTGGGGGTCATAATTTGAACAAATTTGAATCTACAATATCTTCTAATGCATTCATATGAATTGGACTAATCATGACTTTGCTGTTCTTGAGAAGAAGATTTTTAAAGATTTTTCCTATTTATTTCTATGTAAAATTTTGATCACCCATTGTGGCCGCACCCTACCCCAGGGAGTCATGATCTGCACAAAGCTGAATCTACACTACTTGAGGATGCATTCATTTAAATTTTTTTAGCCCACCTTGAGCCTTCAGCTCAAATGAGCTGAAAAAATTACTGGAATATAAGGAAAGAGATCAAAGAAATGAAAGATAATGTAAACAACTCCATTTAAATGGATTTGATTATTTTATCAACTCCAGTAGCTTGCTGCTGAAAGTTTCCGAGCTTTATCAAATGTTTTCAGGTAAAAAGACAGCAAGGCTATCAGTTATATGTTTGTTTTGGCAGGTACTTTCTAATTCTTATTCTCCTGTTTCAGTAAATCAAATGAGATTTTCCACTCAATTGGGAAGATAATGTCATTTATCACTAATTGGGAAATTATATCACACAATTCTCCAGAAATGAAATTGAATGATGAATAAGTTTGATCTTTTATTTAATTATTCAGTTTTAGTATCAATGTGAGCATATGTCAATAAACAAATCATCACCAGAATCAGACTTCTATTTTATTTCATTCTGTTGATTCCTGGCCCCTGCCATGCTTGTTTAATACATATTTTGATCTTGTTTATTTAATTATATACTGAATACACATTTTGGGGGGGGGGGAAGAGGGTATTTGCAGTTGGGGAGGGGCCTAAATTCAGCCCTACATGGGAGCAGTGGAAAATCCCTGACTGCACCTTTAAGTATAAATGACATACATCTCTCTTTTTCCTGTATGTATACTGTTTAAACTCGTACTGTTTCCTGCTCTCCACAATTTCTGTGACAATGACAACCATGACCAAAAGCAAACAGACATCCTCCAATCTCATCTGTAACAGAGATTAAATAATAAATACACTATAAAGAGAGGAACAGACATCTGTTAACGGAGATTAAATAATAAATACACTGTATAGAGATGAACAGACATCTGTTAACAGAGATTAAATAATAAATACACTGTATAGAGATGAACAGACATCCATTATCGAGATGAACAGAGACACTGAATGAGACATTCAATCTATTTTCAAATCTGTATGTCATATAATTTACTCTTGCTTTGTCAGGTACTGATAGGATGTTAGGAACCTAGTATTAAATTCTGCTTATCCTTTTTTTCCCAAAAGAAAGCTGATGAAATATAAACCTTTTAATCCCATTGTACATGTAAATATTACTATTATAAATAGATCAAAATGAATTTTTACCAAAGGATAAGCAGCATGTAATTTGTATATTTTTAACTGATTTCAGGAAACTTGCAATTTTAGCCAAAAAAGGGTATTCCATTGCCATTCAACTCTCTTACAGAGAAGCGGATTATTATCATAGGCACTCCCAAGCTTAATTGTTAAACAAGAGGCCCATGGGCCACATCACTCACCTAAGCACATTGGCTAGGCAAAAGCACAAAGCAGTTCAGTACATGTATTGAAAAGATTGCCCGGGGGGGGGGGGGGGGGGGGGGGGGGGGGGGGGACTTGAATTTTAAACTACCTGATGATGCTTCCATGTCAATATAACAAATGGCTTTGTTGTACTTGAGAAGATTTAAAAAAAAAATTCCCATATATTCCTTTGTAAAAATTTGATCCCCCATGGTGGCTCCTCCCTATCCCAGGGGTCATCATTTGAACTTAAATCTACACTACCTGAGGATGCTTCCATATCAATATGACTAAACATAGCTTTCCTGTTCTTGAGAAGACATATTTTTTCTATATGTTCTTATGTTAAACTTTCGATCCCCCAATGGGCCCCACCCAACCCCTCCCACCCAACCCCTGGGGGTCATCATTTGAACAAAATTGAATTTACACTACCTAAGGATGCTTCCATATCAAAATGACTCATCATGGTTTGCAGTTCTTCAGAAGAAGATATTTTCCTATAAATTTCTATTTAAGACTTTGATCATCCTACCCACAGGGGTCATGATTTGAACAAAATAGAATCTACACTACCTGAGGATGCTTCCACATAAATATGATCAATCAGGGCTTTGCTGTTCCTGAGAAGAAGATTTTTAAAGATTTTTCCTATACATTTCTATGTAAAACTTTGATCCTCCATTGTGGCCCCACCCTACCCACGGGGGTCATGATTTGAATAAATTTAAATCTACACTACCTGTGGATGCTCCCATATGAATATAAACAATCCGGGCTTTGCTGTTCCTGAGAAATAGATTTTTCCTATAAATTTCTATGTACAACTTTGATAGTCCATTGCAGCCCCGCCCTACCCCCGGTGGTCATGATTTTAACAAACTTGAATCTACACTACCTGAGGATGCTTCCATTTAAATATGACTCATCATGGCTTTGCTGTTCTTGAGAAGAAGATTTTTAAAGATTTTTCCTATATATTTCTACGTAAAACTTTGATCCCCCATTGTGGCCCCACCCTACCCCCAGGGGTCATGGTTTGAACAAACTTGAATCTACACTACCTGAGGATGCTTCCATATAAATATGACTCATCATGGCTTTGCTGTTCTTGAGAAGAAGATTTTTCCTATATATTTCTATGTAAAACTTTGATCCTCCATTGTGGCCCCACCCTACCCCCGGAGGTCATGATTTGAATTAACTTGAATCTACATTACCTGAGGATGCTTCCACATGAGTTTCATCTTTCCTGGCCCTATGGATTTTTAAATGATGCCATTATTTTTTCACTAATTCCTAATTATCTCCCCTTGAAAGAGGGCGTGGCCCTTCATTTGAACAAACTTGAATCCCCTTTACCCAAGGATACTTTGTGGCAAGTTTGGTTGAAATTGGCCCAGTGGTTCTTGAGAAGAAGTCGAAAATGTGAAAAGTTTACAGACAGACAGACAGACGGACAGACAGACAGACGGATGCCGGACAAAATGTGATCAGAAAAGCTCACTTGAGCTTTCAGCTCAGGTGAGCTAAAAATATGTATCTACTATACTATAAACATGTCTATAGTATAGTAGATATATATTTTTTAACAATTAAGCTGGGGAGTGCCTATGATTATTATTATAAATGGCCAAAAATTGGTAATTGTGGTTTTGAGATACAACTTCCTCTGACATTTGAATGCACGCATATGGGAGGGGAAAAAATCCTGAATTTAGGACAACTGGGTAAGAACAGAAGAGGCTTGTAAATCGTCTCCCTGATGTGCTTCTTGGTTAATACTGTTTTTACTTTAAAAATCTCCCTCGAAGTGGGGTTCCCTCTTTGTTGACAATATTTTTTTTTGTATTTTTTATCAACTGTAAAGGGGGATGGGGTTCTAGAGAATCCATGGTCATGTGCCTGCGATTTTTTTCGTCATACTCAAAAGCCCATGAAATCAATAAAATTTCACCTATATTAATTGATGGAAAAATATTACATTCCTGTATTCATTCTGTAATATACCGGTAATCGAAACTAAAGAGGCTTTCTTGCTTCTGGAATATAACAATATTGTCAATATACCCAGGGACCTATATACTATATATAGTATATAGGTCCCTGATATACCACAAGAGTTCTCAATTTTATCAAAAGTCAATAAAAATCACTCGATTGACCAAGCCATGAGCTGTGCGTTAGCATAGCGAAACGCATAGCTCATGGCTTGGTCAATCGAGTGATTTTTATTGAC